GTTGAATAATTAATTAATTGGGTTGCTTATTAATAGACACGAATTAATTAATTGGATTAATTAATTAATTAGATTAATTAATTCATGGACCGAATTTAATTCATTTGATTAATTAAATATCGGACCGGGTAAAATTTAGAGATGGGTCAAGCCCACTTTGGCTTATATTAATATGCTGATAGGGTTTGTAAATTGTAGAGATTATTTTCATTATTCTTGCTAGTACAAGAAAAGAAACCCTAGCCATCATTCATGTTCTCTGTGTGGATCACTATTGAAAGCTGGATAATTGGACAGCTTGGATTGCAGATCGTGATCATTGGAGTTCGGGAATCAGCAAAAAAAATTGCAGAATTCATCAAAGGTATAATTCTTATCACAATTTCTATCTAAACACATTGCAGATCCTTGGTGGGAATTGAAAATTGTTTTATTTCCGCTGTGCATAATTAAGTAAATTCCCAACAACCCCGAATCTGTCGAAGCCACGTGCTCTAATTNTGATTAAGTAAATTCCCAACAGGAAAGTGGATAAAAAATAGTGGCAAAGAAATAGTTCACTTTACTGATCATCATTTTTGCTATTCTTCCTTCTCTTGGCATAAAAAATCCGGCTAAGAATGCACTCAATACACTATTATAGTCCCCAAAAATAGGCGAAAAGCAACAAACCATAACAACAAATGCCACTGAAACAACTAGATGTGAACCTTTCATGGATTTCCCATCAGGATTTTCGCGATTCACCCAATTCATTAGCAGGGGAGTCACCTTGGCTACTAAGACTGTTTCAATCACAATAAGTGAAGTCATTCTTAGAATGCTCTTCAAGTACCTATAATAGAAATTGTTAGAGGGGTCACAGTGTACTCCAGCAGATACAACAAAACGCCCAATATCCGACTTCCCAATCTTGAGATCAGTTATTAGGCGAGCTAGCAATGGAGAAGCTGTCCCAGAGAGGATAACAGAAAGACAGATATTTAATGTAACATTTTGAGTTTCAGGGACATTCAAGAATGGAATTAGTAAAAAACCTATAACAATCGTGGTAAGAACTCCTGAACACGCCACTTTCGCCTCCCGTAGAGGTATCTGAAGGAAAATGTGTGGATCTATTTCTAGGCCTACTACAAACATATGGCAAATCATCCCACCTTCTACTATATATGTTAGGGTTTTCTGTATCTCATCACCATTTGTTTGTTTACGTATAAATGGCATATTGCTTAGAAACCGGCCTACCTGCATGGAGTCAATGATAATCAACATGAGATTCTAATATATTCAAAAGTCAGTTGATGGCATGTGCATGCTGCTTATACCAAACATGCACATGCACATGCACGAGTGTTTAAGTAAAGGGATTTACGATGGATTCGGGAATTATTCTGGGTTGAGACATAGGGCGCAAGAAAATGTGCAAGAAGTTGCATAAGAACACAAGGAAGAAGAATCCCAGCGTGTACACTGCAATAGTTGCCAATTCGTAGGAAATCCGAGTGGTGCATCTGGCTTCCATATTCTTGAAATCTGTGTAATTTCTGTTCAGGAATTCCATTCTTTCTCCTCCTCCTTGAAATCTGATAAACACATAATGATTTACAGTTTCGAAATTTGCAAAAAGTAGAAGATTCCCCATGTCCAAATAACAAACCAAAACTTAAAAAATAAAAATAATTGAGTACCAGGTTCTACAAATGCTAAAAACTGTTATATATTTATTCAATAAATATAATATGTGAAAGAAATAACTAATTAAGATGAAGTGCCCCACTGGTGAAAAGTGTGGAATTTATGTGGGAGGTCAGGTGTTCAAGCCACGCCTCACGCACTATATTAAAAAGTCTTTGATTGGGCCTTGGGGCTTTGAGCTTTATTGATTCTANATATTAAAAAGTCTTTGATTGGACCCAACGACATCATCGCTTTCTCGATGGCTTGTCATGCTATCAATTCACATTCACAGCCAAATCGGTTCGCCAGCACCACCGTCACCGTGCGGTCTCGCCAGCACCACCATCACCACGTCGCCAGGTAAGTTATCTCCCATTTTCCCCGGCAAGGAAATACTACTGTATCTCCGTTGCGCACGGAGAAACCGAACGCATCCCTTTTCTTCTCTTCATTTCTTTCTCTCGCCATTTCTCTCTCTCTCTCTCACTTTCCCTTTTCATTTTCTCCCTGTGCAGTGGACAAAAACCCTAAGCTCCCTTCTTCGCCTCTTTTTTTTTTCCTTTGGTTCTGTCTCTCGATGGTTGGGACAACAGATTTCTTGTTAGTTATTGCATTGATTTCTTCTTCTGTAGATATCTGAGCCAACTGAACCAAGATTTCCATTCAAATAACTAATTCTTGTTTTTCGATAACTTTATTTATGGTTATTGAGGTTCCCATGCCTGTGGAATGGTTTTTCCTTTTAAGTTGTTTTATTTTTATCTCTGGTTTCAATTATATTCTTCATTCTATTTGGGTCAAATGGATAATTCACACTGCCTTTTAATTTTGTCAGTTTCGACTGAAGCTTTTAGAAGGTGGAGGGG